CTGCCTTGCTTTAAAATGTTTGGAAACTAATGCTGTAGGATTCATAGTCAATGGAGAGGGGCAGTTGCCTCCTCTGTAATTACGAGAGTCCATATTACACTATTAGCATGAGTATTTCTTGTTAAACGTGTCTTCTAATGGAATATTTGTTTCCTCAGAAATGGTGAGCTGATAATGTATCCATCTCTCCGAGGGCGTGGGAAGCGAACATGAGGATACAAAGACATTGCTTCCTATCTAACAAACCACCTCATAAGTAGGGTTTAGTTCTTGTCATTAGATTATTTATTTATTTATTCCTATTGTCATTGTAATGTTAAGGGAGCATTCCCAGCGGCCTCCTCTATCTTGCATCTGCTACTACTGGCACATAAACCAGAAAGCAGCTAGGGCTCTGGCTTTTAGTTAATTACTTCATAAGGCATAAGGATTCAAGACAAACTATGGTCTTCACAGCCACCTTGAGGACACATGGTCCGCAGTTTTTTAATTGAAAACTACACTGGAACAATCCTGCTGCACTGACTCTATGTTGTGCTTAACACTAGCAGATAAGTTTTATTTAAGTTTTGAACAAAGTTTAAATAAAAGCCATAAGTATATAGCTGTAGAGTTTATAACTATGTAATGATATCTCCTTATTTCTCTCCCACGTTGACAAAAATAGACAAGTGGGGGGTGCCATCTCTAAACCTAATCTGAAATAAAAACCTTCTCATGTGACACAGTCTCATAGTCACTAGCAGAAAAGGCTTATCCTGCCAGTTCTCCATCTTAAACTGTCAAAATCTAAAGAAGCAATTTCCAGGAGAGCCATAGGCTTTGTTTTCTAAATACCCTCCTATCCCTGCTGTGATACAAATTCAGTAGTATTGCTCTTGGCAACTTGCGGATGGGCACCTTAAAAGACAATGATAAGTAGATACTGACAATCATGGTCTGTAAAAGTTTTCTAATTAATTTTGTGACCTTCTGTTTTACTAATTCCCCCCACCCCCTCCCTCAAATACTCCGACCTTTCCAGTCCAAGTTTCAAAGTTTCAGTTACAGGCTGAAAAACATACATATGTATTACTAAACCAACTACTTTTACCTGGAATTCAAAATTTGCTCAAGTAATTGTCCTCCCTCCTCATACGAGGCCCGTATCATTACACAAATTAGTTTTTGAAATTGTGTTGCCTCTCACTGGGCGCTCGAATGAGAATTTGATGATGATGAAAAACTCCTGTCATTGTCCTGTTGTTTAGGAAGCTCATTAGGTGAGATACAGATAGCGTAGGTGATCCACTTGTTTTATGGGCTTCTATAAATGATAACTTAGAAGGTATAAAAACAAGTAACTGCATCTAGACAATTTAAAGCCAGTAGCACTACAATAATTAAAAGATCTTTCTAAACTGTACTGGTAGAACAGGGAAAACCTCTATAATCAACTTATCTGGGGAAGCAATCAGACAATAAAAACTGAGGCATTTTAGGCACTAATAAAGCCGTGGAATCTAATGACTATAATAAAACTTTAGCTGCAGTTATTCCAGAACAATTTCCCTTGCAGTAAAAAGTATTTTACAGGTTTTTCTGTCTGAAATTACTGTTGGTTGGTTAGATGTTGATCATAAGAAACAACTGCAGAATGATAATTTTATTTTTGGCATGTATTTCCATCATTCACCTCTCCTTTTCATCATGAAGTCTTTTGGCTTCATTCAAAGGCTAGAATCAAGCAACCCTTTGACAAGACCAGAAATAAATTTCTTCATCAGCTTTCTGTACAAATATACACACTAATATTCTAATGTTCTATACTTTTAGTTCAGCATGGTGTTATGCAGCAGTTTTGGACTTTGAGAACTACACTTCTATGATGTACAACATTGGTCATTCTGCCCACAGCTCATATGTGATGCAGGCTACAATTTAGTATGTAAGTAAATCAATAGGCAGTATGTATACCCTTAAAAGTAGAGCTTGCAAGGGTGGAACTCAGCCCACTTAACTTGAGGTGACAATGCTGAAAGTGAGCTAAGCGCATAAGCTCTTCCTACAGCCAGTGGGGCTCTGGTTAAGGTTCTCAATGGAGTTTAGGGGACAACTCATCTCACCCTGCAGCAAAAACCTACGTCTAGCTAGAAGAACAGCACTTTAGCCACGACAGGCTATACAGTTTATATCTCTGCTGGTACTGCAATGGAATCCTACATATCCTATTCAAAGGTAAATACCTCGAGTAAACCGAGGTGAATGTTGACCCCGGTATCAGAATGACACTTCAGGGCCACTTGTGGAACGACACTGTCCTAAGCCTGGCTTATGTATACCTCTGTCCCTGATGCAACACAACTGAGTGCTCCAACCAAATAGCATTTTCACTTTCATGTTTTATCAGTTTTGAAAAGTGAAAAATTATTATTGCAATGTTGCTGATGTTCAGTGTATGAAAGAAATACGGTCACTGCAGAAAACGATTGTTCCAGTTTTTATATCCATTCTTCACCAATATAAATGAATATTCAATATATGCCAATATAAGCCAAAGTAGAAAAATGAAACTCCTTACTTGAATTTAGATTTTGTTAGCCTGTGATCAAAACCAACTAAAACCACTTTATATGGAAAGAAGTCTTATGGATGTGGTATTTATGCCCTGGATTGGAATACCTGTGAAACATTTTAAAAGAATTATTTCTCAGATTCAGCTGAAACATCCATCCCATTTAAATTACTTCTGCAAGTATAAAATCTGATCACATTCTTAAGGAGAAGATAAAAACTCCTTCTCAATTAAAAATAACAGAGAAAACTTGAAGTAATAGTACACTACAACCGAGTTTTGTTTAGTTTTTGTTTCTTTAGAAGAGTTTCTGGAGGAGTTTCTTTTAATACAGAAGACATTTCAGTGAGACTTTTAATAAACAATGAAATATTATTAAAAAACTGACACAGAATTTTTAAGACATTTTGTTAACAAAGTACTAAGAAGACTGCAGCTGTGAAAAATGTTAATGTCGTAAGATCCACTCAAAGTTGTAACTAGTTTCTGCACAGAAAACTGTGTTTCGGGGCTTGTATGTTGAAATATCTAAAAAAAAAAATTAAAAAAAACGCAGACTTGCACATACATCTCTGTGCGCTGTCAGAACCATATGCAATCCCTAAACCCAAGCCAAACATGAATTTTCAAATTCCCAACTCCTTAGATTTCTGAGTTTTCTACATATACCAGACAGCCACAGTACAGTATTTTTTTAAATACAACTCTCTTCAATTTATTCCTGCATCTTATCAGGGTCATTTAAAATAAACCAATTCAATAGTACTTCGAGCCACTTTCTATGACTAGAATATCTATAGCTAGACACTTTTATTGAAAGTGAGAACTTACACAGTTCAAACTGTGAAAACTTAAAATATTTCAACAAAATCCAACTTGTTTGAAAACCACACAAGCAGTTTAGCTATAACAAATTTCATAAAAACTGCAGGGTTGTTTTTCCCTGTAGGATGCAAAATTTTATCAATTTAACCTGGAAAACAAACCCAGGCCTTTTTCCAACTTACAGAAATCCTATAGTCTGCAATGGCAGCACTCAGCAGAAGCATTTATTTAGTCGCTCAGTGTTTAAAATGGAACAAAACCACACAGCACTTTGGGTGCAAAAGGAAAGTGGCTCCACCTTGTCATACTTTCAATCCATAACATTCTCTTACAAGTTCTAATTAATAAAGCTGCATAATAGTAATTCTGTACATTTTCATTTTCTTACACAAGCTAGTATTTTTACCTGTGAATGCTTTTTACCCATACTGGACGGCTATTGTATGTCATTTTATTCTACTGTTCTAACAGGTCAATAAAACTAATAGTGCATAATGGTGGGTTTTACTACTATCAAGTATGTAAGCCCAGTGCAGTAAGGTATTTTCTGCCAAATCTATCCTTTTATAAATGGAAATGTGGATATAACTGCCTTGCTTTCCAAGTAAACTGGCTAATGGTATGTTTACTTTTAAAATGTAATGCTTACATTTGACATACAGAATACTTAAATAAAACGTTTAAAGTCTGCCAGTCATAGAAACTTATATTTAAAATACGAATACACAAAACCAAAACCAATAAACCTTACCAAAATATCACAAAAGTGGCATTGCTATGTACTCAAATATAAAATAACAGCCACATAGAAAAATGGAAACAGAGAATGAAAAAGGAGCAGCAGACACCAGCAGTCACTGAATCCCTGTTCCGCCATCTAGAAGCAGCGCTGGAGCTACTTAGAGCAGGCACTACGCAGTAGGCCGTACCCGAGTGAAAAGGATGCAGGGCACAGGCCCTGAGGTCCTTGCGCATTGCCAGCTGTACGAGCGTAGCTGGGGTCAGGTACAAACCGTGATCCCAGTGAGGGAGGTTGTGCAAGCTTCGTGCAGTGATAGGGAACGCACGGGGCCAGCACCAGTGTCATCGTAGGGAGAACAGATTCACGGCGCCCTTCGCAAAACCTCACTTTTCCACCAAACCTGCCTCTGCCTGTTCCTACCTGAACTAAGCCAGACGTACACCCTCACTGCACAAGGACTGATTCTAGTGCCACCTGTCTCTCCGGGCTTCGGACAGCAGGCAGTACTGAACCCGGCTTTTGGGGCCCTGCAGCCCAGGTTGCCTCTCACCCAGAGAGGCCAGAGGAGCCTGGTGGAGCTGTGACCTCCCGAGTCCTAAACTAGGAGTACGACACTAAACATTTTACTCCTGAAACGGCAGAAGTTTTTAACAGCAGCCTGTGACCACGTAAGAGGGGAATACATTGATGTCAGCTGTGGAAACAACTGTGAGTTTACTTACGAAAGCAGATAAACTGGAATTGAATAAACAACCAGAGCGTACCTACATAAGATGTACAGGAGCCAAGCTTCACTACTATTTAATCCGGTTCAAATCGGTCCTCCCAGAAAGCATGCTTTTGAATTTCAGAAGAACAGAATGTTACTTTCAGACTTACCTTTTTCTGTTTTGTCTTGTTCAGTTTCTTTTTCACTTTTCCCTAGAATAGTAAAAATATAATTTCACTGAAATACATTTATGGTAACAGTTTATGATAAGAAAGAGATACAAGAAAATTACAGCTTATACTCAATATAATTGGGCTAACAGGACTTTTTTGTTTCATTTTTATTTTTTAAGGTAACCATAGATTACTGTCTGAACTATGTAGTTACATAAAAGGTCTTTCTCTGCAGATACCTCAAATATTACATTATTGCTTCTGTCACAAAATATTTCATAAACTTCCCCCTTTTGATATTTGGTAGATTTTGGTGATACACATGATGCAAGCTATTTTGCTAGGAAAAAACCTGTTCACTAATTAAAAACTCTTGGGAATACTAGCTTAATATATATATTTGATTAAACTCTAAAAACCATGAAAATCAATTGGGAACCTAGGTCTCAGAAGTGGCTTGAGCACTTGGAAGCTTTTGTCTTACTTCAACTTTTAAAATAGTTTAACCCAGGTGTTTAGTAAACATCTGAATGCACAGGTAAATGTTAACTAAGCACGAGACAGTCTGTAGCAAAAGACAGACTACATACTGTACCAAAATCATTCATGTGTATATCCTGAAGGTGGTACATACAGAGACAGGCTTATCCTCTCCTCCTTTTCTCCTTTATAAACACTTTTTGATCCTGCTCTACTCTGTAACATTTAAAGCATCTTGCCTCACAATTCTAACATTATTATTCTGTTTCCCGTTTTGTCCCAATAAGCTTCCAGTATGTCTTCCCAGTAAACTTAATAGAGAATACTAAGAAGAGAGGTCAGTTAGCTTTTCAGTTACAGTTATTTTCCCCTCCAACATATACTCTTTAATTTTCAGGTATTCTTATATATAGAAGAAACAATTTCTAAGTCAATTAGAGACATCTTGTCAGAATACTCAATCTTCACATTTTTTTTAAACTGACTGCTCAGAAGCATTACATTGTGAATAAAATACACCATGCTGAAAAACATTTCTTTTTTCATGGAGAAACTGGGTTATGGACACACATGAAATCAGACTATTTTACATTCTAATTTCACCCTTTACTACAAGCTGTCAACTGCTATTACTGAACGTTCAGACAGTACAACTCTGATTTTTATATTCAGCACAAAGCAGAATGACTATTAACTTGATTATGATATGGTAAATTAAATAAATATGGTCACATTGAAAGTCATTCACCTCTTCAAGTACATCATAAAATCCAGATTGTCAAGTAAATTGAAAGGAATGACAACAAGATCTATAGAGTCAGTTACATACTGTGGGATAACTTGGAGAAGGAATATTATTACTATAACAGTGTATTAATGAAAGCATTGTTCAGTACTTGCTAAAATGCTGGCTTTTATGGTTTGGTTTTTTTCACATACCACACAATAAATAAAATGGTCATGTCTATTTGTATGTCATCAGAAATACTGTATTTTAAAAAAAGCAATAAAAGCAGCTCCAGATGTGACACAGAATAGTTTATATACTCATATTTCTACTATTTTTATCAACTCAAAGCACATGAACAACTCATTACAGGACAGTAAATGAGTCCTGCATGATACATCATGCTACATCCCATGATACAGCATGCTACTTAGCCACCCATTTTCCCTGTATCTTTTCCCTTATCAGCAACACTGATATTCTCACCTGACTCCTTCTCTTGAATTCCCTCTCGGTCATTCAGTGACCCTCTTCAACCCATCTTGGACATTCATGTTATTTCTGCAACTTCTTTTCCATCACAGGAAGAACAAGGTATGAGCTCATCACTCTAAAGCCTGCTCCTGCCTCCCATTTCTTGCCCAGCTTAACACTTTATTACTGAGGCTCATGCAACATATAACGTACAGTTGTCTATACCCATTTATGTACTAGGATCAGTTCTCCAAATCCTTTCCCAGACTTTTTTCAACCTGCGTTCTGCTAAATTAGCTGCCACTGAATTCACCAAAACCTCTCCAATGATCTTTAAATGCTCCAGCTTCTCCTAGGTAGCTGCTTTTGAAATTCATCAAAACTTGATCTTCTTAGCTCTGAAGGTCTTGTTTCTCTCAGCTCTCACCCTACTTAACTAAGAATGCACTTCAGCATCATATTCAGCACATACTGCTTTGTTCCCTGCACACTGATCCCTAGCTTACTTTGATGGTGCAAATGGTTTCAATTATGCTACTTCTGACAAAGGTTTAACAGTGTGCTGTCTCAAGGACAGGGATATGATAGTAAATCCTGAGACTATTTTGTCATCAACTTAACCCAAATATAGCTGAAAAAAAAAATTTTCTTAGCTCTTCAAACCACTCTCATCCTTTACTCAATTTCTCTGTTTCCAGCAAAACAAATCTAGATAAAAAAATCATAGACAAAACTGTTTAAACCAATCTCCACAGGCTAAGACTGCTATCACTGTGTGATGTATGCACCAAGTATCCCCAAGAAAGTTTCTAACAGAAAGAATAAATTTTTTTCATATTACTGTATGTCTAAATATTTGTGAGTGTATGTGACAATGACCCAAGTCACAACTGAAATGTATTTCAGACCCTGTAGATTTAACATGAATCCCAATCAACACTACAAACGTACAATTTATCTACATATACATAATTTTTGACACACTTAAAAAAATCACACAATGATATTCAGTAAAAAACATGACATTTTTCAGTATCTTTCCTATGTTCACTCTTATCTGTTTACTTTACTTCTTAGAAAGAAGTATCATGATTTACCTTTTCAATTACTGAGAATGTGAAAAAGTCAATTAAAATTGTAGTAAATTTTCAATATTAAAATAAAACTTTAGTATCCTTCTCTTATTTAAACTTTGCTTTCCTTATTGGTATTTCTTCCTGTGATTTCCAAAAAAGCCACTGAATCCAAGCTTTCTTAGATTCACTGAGATATAGCAAGAAGCAATGTAGCAATGTGAAAATATAAAGAAAGATGTAATCTTTTGACTTTTTCGTAAACTACACTTCTTTATTCAGCAATATTTCACCATAAAAAAATAGAGGTGTTTGAAAACTGAAAAGATCAAGAAAGATTTTTCTTTTCAAACAGAACTGCACAGACACAACACCCTTGCCAGATTTCCGATTTAAACTATGGACCATAACCTAGAATATTTCTCTATGAAAAGCAGGTATCATACCTCCCACACACATTGGTGTTTGTTGAAGAATGCTCTCTCATCCATTTTAAGTTACAAATAGAAATAATGTATCATGGGCAAAATTCAGGCCAAACTGGCTACAGAATAGCTAATACTCCAAAAGAAGAAACACAACACAATTATAGAAGATGCAGACCTGAGTAATACCCATTTCCTTCACATAATACCATCCAGGAAGAAAAATTACTTCTACTTGCTATATTTCTTCCTCCTTGTAAATAATTCTTCCAAATATAAACTTTCAAAATTATTACTTTAAAAAATAATATGAATTAGTAGCTGAGGCAAATATTTTTCCACACAGTTAATATCTACCACGTTTTGGAAAAAATAATGACACTAGAAAGACAAAGATATTCTTCTGTGTTTTATTGCAGCCAAACATTAAAACAGATTAAATATACATTTTTTTAATAGTCTGCTTGTCCTTGCTCAGCTTGGCATATTTTTGTAAACATGAAGCACATAAAATCACATACCCAGTTACAAAATACTTAAAATTTGATCACAGCATAATATACTCTCACAGTCCCATAATTCTACAAATAGGCTGCCACTGTTATATAAAAAGTAATCCATTCACCATTCTAAATTACTCCCAAGCTTCTTCACAAAATATGGCTTTGTAAAAATTATTGCTCTGCAATTCACAATCACAGGTAATTTTACTAGAATATCCCATCCCAAACCACATCACAGTCTAATAATATTATTGCTTTCCTGAAAAGTCTAAAGAAATTACTTTGGGACATCTGTGTTTGTTGATCAGATGTAACACTCACTGATGTGGAGTCTTACTGAAATCCCAAACAAAAATAAGCAGGCATATATGAAGCCCCTTTCACTGTAAATGTAAGCAAGTAAAAACCTGACTTGAAAACAGTGTTATAGAAATTTAAAATCTCCCAGTCAACCAAAAGGCAACCACTGTTCGGGTTACCAAATTGATTTCTCTTCTTAAAAATTTATCTTATTTTATTTCTTCTAAGCTCCTGTATCAGCCTTGGCAATTTCCTAAAATCACAGCAATTATTCCTGAGCCAAAAAGTAACACATGCAAAATGCCAAAGAATAAAATATGTCTTCGTAATTGTGGAACAGCAGCACAGAACAGGTAAAAAGTACACCTGTTATATTAAAATTCTAAATCACTTGAAGTCTAAATTTCAGACGTACCATTTACAAGAGCATTAACGATTGTAGGTCTTAAATTTTGATATCCTATTTTTCTTGAGGTTGAATTTCCAAAGCTTTTTTCTTTTTTTTCTTTAAATAAAATTTACAAGCCAAGTATTTACGCAAATTTGACTTTTTAAATACTTCACTGAATATAAAGCTTACTAAATCCAGCTTTGAGATCATTAGGTTGGTGGGCAAAACAGAAGAATTTCACTGAACTCAACCCAATTCCAGCAACTCAGTTTTGTTGCAATCTACACTGACTCCTGCCAGGCTATTACGTAGTTTCTAGACATTTTTGCTTTACAAATCAAATGTACTTAAATAAAAAGTTCTAATTCACACATAAAGGGTTTCTGAAAAAAGTAATCTGCCCTTTTACTAGTATGAATTAAACATAAACATTTTGTACCTTGTTAGACTATTTTAAAAATCACCTGAAATTCATGTAGTGTAACTGTTGACATAACATCAGTGCAAAGAGATAGAAGTCAACCTTCACAGCATAGTGTGTGCCTGATTAGTGTTTTCAATAAAATGCAGTTCGGCTGTATGCTATATCAGCAGTTATAAAACATTTAAAAATTCATAGTATTATACGTTTCATTTGACCAAACTGCTCTGTACATACTGTATGAATCCACAACAAAAGATATATATTAAAATCTGAAAAAATGTACTTGCTGCTACGTTATAAATAGAATATTAACAATTGTTTGAACAGCACATATGAAATGCAGCTCAAAGTTGCAACTCTGTCACAAACACAGAAGAAAAATAATGAATTCACTAAACTTGACCAAGAAAAAAAAAATGAGACAGGAATGTAAATTAAACATCCTAGTGTTAAAAAAATCTTACTAAAATGACAGTTGGCTACAACCCATTTACAATATCTTAGTGTTCGTTCCCCAAACCCTGAACTGCTTGGTAATTACATCATAAGAACTATTACAACCATCTGCTCCCCTTTTGTAGCGTATGGTTAGGGCTGGTCCTCCTGATGTAGGGACTTTTCTTTTGAAGCTTTAAGTATCTGAAAAAATAAGGGGAAATCTATATTAAAGGACCAACCAAAACACAACTTACTCTAAAACAACAACAACAAAAAATCTTCAATGCTAAAAAATGCAACTTTGTATCAGACTAGTTAATTTGAGAGCGCTATCATTTCTAGGAGCTACCATAATTAATATACACAAAGTTGCTGTATAAAGTGGGAAATATAAACTTTTAAATATTTACTTAAGCAGTAAATTTTTTCTCAGCATATGGCACTTCATTTACCTTGTAAAGGAAATCTAGGCCATGTCACAAATACATTAAAACTTTTTTTTTTTTTTTTTTTTTAAAATCAAGGACACTTACAATTGGAAAAGAGGAGCCAGGGAATGAGGAAGGGTCAAAGTTGTAAAGTGGAAACTTCTCTACACATAAGGGATTTCAGCAGTTGATAAATAAATGTAGGGTTATAAAAATGTCAAGGATACAAGATGAAAGGGGGGGCGGGGAAGAACCCTTAGATATTTTAAATCTGAACATATACAAGGGGGATCAAAATCCAAATACACAGAGTAAAGGTATCCCCAAAACTGTAATATTCTTCCTTAAAATATGTCTCCAGCAAGTACCATTCTATAACAACCACTGCAATTTATGTGCCAGTGTAAAATAGGATTAGCCAAAAATCCAAAATCAGTAATATTTCAAGCTGGCCTACCATACCACTGAAGTGCATTAGTTTTCAAAAATACGGGCTGTAACTGCAGTTAAGATAGCCTACTGCTGGAAAGCAATCTTGGTAATAATTTTAGAAGTAAACTTAGAGAACTGGGAAATAGTACCTACAGATACCTCAAGATGCAGTTGCCTAGTATTTTTTTTTGTGATATGCCCTGAAGTCAGCAAAAACTTCTGACTTGCACTTCAGCATATTCAAAACCCACACCTGATCTCTTCACTGGTGATGTAAGAATGTTCCTCACAGCTAAATTCATCCTCTGAACTATCTCCTGTTTTCTTTCCAAAACAAATAAGTTCCTATATTTCAGATAAAAATCAAACAACTGCTCCTAATCTGATACAAACTGGTGCCACCATGCTTCAGATGAAGTTGCCTGAATTTATACTGCCGACAAATAAGGACTCTATAGTGATATTTCATAGTATCTTTTACACTGCCTTAAGTTATGTTTATTACATAAATAGATACAACTTTCATATATGTAAAGAGCGCATATATGCATAAAGGTGTTCTTCATTCAGAAGAGAGTTCTTGACTGTCTCTAGTACAGTGAACTTTAATATTATTGCTGAAATAACAGGAAATACTAGCTTTGAATACCTGATGAAATGAAATCACATGACAAAAGAAGAAAAGACTTCTGGCTACAACAACAAAAAAAACCATACTGAATGCTCCATCACGAATAATAATAATAATAATAATAATAATAATAATAATAATAATAATAATAAAAATCCCTGGTAAATATGAATTTCATATTCTAAGAGGAAAATGTGAGAATAATGTTACCTTCAAACTGAAATTTTCACATCTTAAAAGGCAGGTAAACATACTTAATAGTAGGAAAAAATAGTAATTTAATAGTAATAAAATTTTTATTCCTGGTCAGTAGTTTACTTATGTCTTTTTTTCTTTTCTCAATTTTCAGAGATGCTATTTGAATTCTACTTTATGTGCTGAAACCATAAGCTTTTTACAAAAACTAATAAACAACGATTCTTCTGCCGTCAAAGTGATTCCCACATAACTACACAAATTACTAAAGATTCTTAAGTATGTTGGTACATTGTTGTAGATTTTGTGCTGATCTACTTCCTAAACGAAGAATCATGTACATGGTACTACATGCAATAGTTACTTGTGTGTTTAATAACTGAATAAACGGAGTTTGTTTGTCTCACTTTCTCCTTTGAAGGGAAAAAGAAAATATTCACTCCTTCCAGTGCTGCTATTATTATCTATTTCCACAAGATATACCAGGATAGACCTACGCCTAATATCATGGTTTAAAAAGCGTGTTGCACTAGTTTTGAAAACAACTGAAGGTAATAAAAATAAATCCAAAAAACCTTTTGGAAGGATCAGAAATACATACTATTTCAGAGTAAAACAATTTATTTTTTTATTCTAACAGGGTTTCAAAACAGTGAAGACTCTCTTTGTATCACAATACAATAAAAGGAGAGTGGACAACTACGCTCAATTCCACCATCTTACTTGAAAGTCCATCTGCAATTAAAGGAGTGATTATCCCCCTGTACTTGGCACTAGTGAGACCGCACCTTGAATACTGTGTTCAGTTTTGGGCCACTCACTACAAGGAAGACACCGAGATGCTGGAGAATGTCCAGAGGAGGGCAACAAAGCTGGTGAAGGGTCTAGAGAACAAGTCCTATGAGGAGCAGCTGAGGGAACTGGGGTTGTTTAGCCTGGAGAAAAGGAGGCTGAGGGGAGACCTCATCGCTCTCTACAACTCCCCGAAAGGAGGTTGTAGCCAGGTGGGTGTTGGTCTCTTCTCCCAGGTAACAAGCAATAGGACGAGAGGAAATGGCCTCAGGTTGTGGCAGGGGAGGTTTAGATTGGATATTAGGAAGAACGTCTTCACCGAAAGGGTTGACAGGCACTGGAACAGGCTGCCCAGGGAAGCAGTTGAGTCACCAACCCTGGAGGTATTTAAAAGGCATGTAGACATGGTGCTTAGGGACATGGTTTAGCAGTGGACTTGGCACTGTTAGGTTTACAGTTGAACTTGACTATCTTAAAGGTCTTTTCCAACCTAAATGATTCTATGATTCTAAATGGAATATTTGGAAAACCATCCACTGCTGTACAATACATGTTAGATTGGGTTTTTTTGGTGAAGGTAGGAAATTCATTTACTGCTGCAAGACTGAGCCATAAATTACAGCACAAAAAGTGATAGAAATGGGTCACAAAAACAAAAATTAAAGATTTCAAGCTGATACTTGGATTCTGAATTTAGTTTTAAAATAGTATATATGGCAAGCGATCACCTCAATATCCTCATATCAATACCACTGACGCTGCAGTGGAATTACCTACTGTTGAAATTTTGCAATAGTCCTGTAAGGGCCTTTTTGTTATTTTAACTTTAAGCAGCAACATTTTCTGAGAGAAAACATCTTTTCTTCTTCTACAATTCCAACTTAAAGCACAACAAACCAACTGAACACTACCCTTGCTGAACATCTCACCTATGCTGTCAAAGGTAACTACTTCTTGTTCCTGCACTGATTATAAGCTTTGGTTAAAAATATTTCATATTCATTATGAAACAAACCATTTTTAGATAAGGCACCTATTACTGAATACCTATGCCTTCAAACATTTCAACACACCATGTGGCTGTTATGATAAATAGGTTATAAAGACCTCACAGACAACACAGTTACATATTGATATGAGCACTTCAAATCACCTCAGTTAAGGTTCAGCATGTAAATTAAAACATGAACTAAACCATGCCTCCAATCTGAACTGGGCAACCACAAAGGCCTCCTACGTTTTTTCACTTCTCTGTCTACTTTTGGCATACCCAGGAACAAAATACGAGTTACCCTTCCCACAAAGAAAAGCAAAACCCCTGGGCACCACACCACACAAGAGCTTCTGCATATTGCAAAGATTAACTAAGCCAGAAAGGTGCTCAGGCTAATCAGAACAAAACAGAAATAATGCTGTCAGGGCTGTTGGATTGCAGCTTCTGTGATTTAAGGCCCAGAGATACAACTCGGTGTTTCACTCAACACAACTACTTCATTACGAAGAACAAACTAGCAATTTGTAATAATTAACTCAAAAAAGCAGATGAAATCTAACAATATATAGTGTTCAAATTTAGAAGCTACTCTAAAAATGGTTTTGGTAAAATCTATGTTTACTACTGTCAGGCAACAGATGGAAGAGCTGGAAGTGCTCTTGTTCTTAAAATCAGTTATGTCAAGAAAAATGTGATGGCATGACAAAACAGTCCTGTTTTCAGATCAGTGCCCAAATAATGTGGCGCAGTTGGACTCCATTAGATCTGACTGATACACAGAGAAGTGACAGTATCACGACCCAGGAACAGTTACTCTGGAAAGGAAGTACACACATATTTTGAGCCCTGAAATTTTTATACTTCCCTTTAGAGCAAAAGTATCTAGCTCTGTCTGAACCATTAAAAGTTAAATTGTAAATTAAAACTACTCACAGTTTTACTTGGAATGCTTCCATATAACCCAGTAACTATTACTAGCATTTATCCAGTACAAGATAAAAATTATTACTTCAAAAACAGGAAGGAACTTTAAATGACAATACTGATAACCCTTCACTCCTCTCCACAAAGTAATTTGTTTACAAACTTTCCATGTAGCTATAGCTTCATTTTGGGGGGAAAAAAACCAAGCACTTAAAATTAACTTACCCACTAGATCATCATTTGAATAATCCTCATCTTGAACAGGCATTTCTGCAAGTCAAAAGTATACAAACAATTCAAACTGGACGCTTCTCTAAGTATCTACAAAAGGCTGCATTTTTTCCCTTATGCTCAACCAGTGACCTATCAAAACTACCCTGTAATACTATTTTTGCAGAAGTGGGATGCAAATTTTCCTCAGCTGAATTTTTCCAGAGGAAAGATTAATACTTAAGTAGACCAATGAGTAAATTGCAGGACTGCACAGTTTCAAAAATGATATATCAGAATTCTGAAACTACACTATCCGAAGCACAAACTTGCCACAGTTTCACATGCTACTACAGTATGGACTTAGAAAACATTCTTATACTTATTATGTTCCCAGCTGCAACTGTGAAATATTTGACTTCAAAATTCAGGTCTTTTTAATTCTGTATGTATGTTTAAATAGACGTCACATGTCACCGAGCACTATTACACTGCTAATAGACTGAAGGCTGCACATAGCTCCCTGTTCATGCATGGAAGGAGTCAGGCTCACCAGAAAAGAATTCATAATAGCCAGGATGCTGGCTGTAGACAATAAGAATCATCAAAGTGAGGGAGATATATTCTCTGACTCGGGAAGCCTATAAATAAAGTGCTCAAAGATGGGGAGACACTCCACTTTATTTCTTACATATACTCTCTTTCCTGAGTACGCGCTACTGACTGGCTGGTGGGAAACAGAGCATAGCAAAGAAATCTTCAGCTTCGTATGACCTAATATGGCCATTTTTATCAATGTAAATTTTTCTGAACTGGAAGCACTCTCAACTTCTAAAACTGAAGAGTGCTCTGTAAGCCATTAAAATATTGTCATTAAAAATCCCAAGATGCTAGATTCCAACAACACAGTTATGTTTGTCCTTAAAAGAAAAAAGCTGCAGAAAAACTTATAAATGTATTTTTATTGCAGCACAGTATTCTATTCCATGGTATTTATCATTCTCAATTTTTTTTTTTTTTTTTTTTTTTAAGTAGCAAACTCATGCGAAAGATAATATACAAACCTGATTCCTCTGGTTCAGTGGCCACAACATCTTCTGTATGCTTGCTTTCTACCATTACAAACAAAATAAGTGTTGAAAGTTACACACAGTGTGTTAACAATTTTGTTTTTATTCCCCATCAGCCACCAAATCAAATTAGTATCAAACAAAAAGGAAGACTTAAACTGCAGAACAACCAATTAGGTTAACTTAAGAGTAAAAATAAAGGTACCGAATGCATTCAGTGTCCAAAAGTTTAGCTCCTCTTTGTTATTGACTTCCATTCCTATTACACCCCCCAAAAGCGATTTTGGTTACAATTGTTGTTTGTGTGAAACATTGTTGTTTGTTTCCCTATTTAATTATACTAGAACACATTTTTCAAATGGAAAACCTAAATAAATATCGCATCAAATCCTACACACTGTGCTCAGACTAAACTGCTTAGATAATTTGCTCTAGCTGACTGAATTAACGTCATGTTTGAAAAAAATCTTGCTTAATGATATTTTTAACTTCTTAGAGCAAATATTCAAATCACATTTGACCCACTACTCATTTAAAATTCCCTGATGCCAACACAATGAACAAAAATTTACAACTTAACCTTTTTGAGTAGTACTGTGAGTAATCCCCGATAACAATACAGGCTAGGGGATGAATGGCTTAAGAGCAGCCCTGTAGAGGACTTGGGTATCCTGGCGGATGGAAAACTGGACTTGAGCCAACAAGGTGTGCTCGCAGCCCAGCAAGCCAACTGTATCCTGGACTGCATCAAAAGAAGTGTGGCCAGCAGGTTGAGGGAAGTGATTCTGCCCCTCAGCTCTGCTCTGGTGAGACCCCACGTGGAGTACTGCTGGAGTACTGCATCCAGCATGGAGTTTTAGTACAAGACAGACATGGACCTGTCAGAACCGGGCCAGAGGAGGGCCACAATAATGATCAGAGGGCTGGAACACCTCTCCTATGAAGAAAGGCTGAGAGAGTTGGGGTTGTTCAGCTTGGAGAAGAGAAGACTCCAGGGAGACCTTATTGCAGCCTTTCAGTATATAAAGAGGGCTTATAAGAAAGATAGAGAGAGACTTTTTACCGAGGCCTGTAGCAACAGGACAAGGGGCAATGGTTTTAAAGTGAAAGTGGGGGGATTTAGATTGGACATAAGAAGAAATTTTTCACAGTGAGGGTGGTGAGACACTGAAACAGGTTGCCCAGAGCAGTAGTGGATGCCCCATCATTGGAAGGGTTCAAAGTCAGGTTGGATGGGGCTTTGAGCAAGCTGATGTCCCTGCCCGTGGCAGGGGAGTTGGACCAGATGATCTTTTAAGTGACCCTTCCAACCCAAACCATTCTATGATTCTATACAGCACATTTATCTGCTTTGTATTTCGTCTGTTTGGTTTTTTTAATTATATTAACAGACATAAATGGAAGAATGGAAAAAATGTTTCCTTTCACAAGCTATAAAAACTTATACCTCCATCAGATTTCAACATGCATGTATTTCATCAAAACACTTTAAGATCACAATTACGAAATATGTACCTGGCTCTGTGGCTTCATTCACTTCCTCCAGAAGGTCCTCAACAGCTAAGAAAACATTCAATTCACAGCAATAATGAAGTCAAGCCCTCAACTGATGAAACTTACATATGACATAAAAGAACACAGCAAACAGACATGTTTAATTCTGAGCAGTAAACTGCTATAGACAAACAGAAACTTTGATGAATTTGAGGGGGAAAAAAAGAAATTAATTCTTCCCTGTTTCACTAAAGAACTGTTGTATTCATTATTCTAAGCATAATCAGTACTCCCACTTTCATCTTTTGCAGCATCAATTCCAACTGCTAGACATATTAAAACCCAACCAACCAAGCTAAAAAACCTATACACTTTTACTTTAGAAGTCTTTTTATTTGGATAAACATGCAACTCCTTGGTGAGTCTTACTTTCCTTCCTGAAGGACAATGAGCAAGTACTTCAACTTAAATTATGGATTCCACATAAAAATAAATTATTTTTATTTTCTTTGAATATGGCACCTTTTAACTCATTTGACTGTCCTCTTAAGCTTATGATCACAAAGGTGACAAACCAGATACTTACAATTTATTTACACTAGAGAATTTCTTGACTTCATTCTAAATTAAACAATTGTGCCTTTTTCAATCAGCTGTCTGAGATGACTCTCAAAAAAGCTGGTACTTCAAGACAACAAAGTATATAGGACCCAGAGAGAGCACTGCAGACAAATAATATTTTAATTGCTTCTGCTAATTAGACAAAGGCACTAGCAAAAAGTATGCATCAAAGAAGAGCTAGTATTGGCAGCCTGTAAGTTTTGAATGATCTTAAGCACTGGTTAAAACAGGCTGCCAATACTAGCTCTTCTTTGATGCATACTTTTTGCTAGTGCCTTTGTCTAATTAGCAGAAGCAATTAAAATATTATTTGTCTGCAGTGCTCTCTCTGGGTCCTATATACTTTGTTGTCTTGAAGTACCAGCTTTTTTGAGAGTCATCTCAGACAGCTGATTGAAAAAGGCACAATTGTTTAATTTAGAATGAAGTCAAGAAATTCTCTAGTGTAAACAATTGTGCCTTTTTCAATCAGCTGTCTGAGATGACTCTCAAAAAAGCTGGTACTTCAAGACAACAAAGTATATAGGACCCAGAGAGAGCACTGCAGACAAATAATATTTTAATTGCTTCTGCTAATTAGACAAAGGCACTAGCAAAAAGTATGCATCAAAGAAGAGCTAGTATTGGCAGCCTGTAAGTTTTGAATGATCTTAAGCACTGGTTAAAAGGTTATGAGCAAGGCTCATGGTAGGCAGCAGGCTGAGTGTCTATGCTGAACTACTGTGTTCCAAATGTCCATAAAAAGCCTCACCCCCCCCACTTTGTATCACTTGAGACCTTAAAGATGAATACTCAAGGATGGTATACTAAAAGAAGATGTCTCAGTTCATAGTCAAAAACCTAATTTTATAACTACACAGACAGTAATGAACCTTTGCCATAACTGGCCACATATCATGATTGAAGATCACACACATGTATGAAGATTACATATTTCAATATATAGAAATACAAGATTAAGTTAATGACTTTTATGCTAACTTGACTAAAATATTTCTCCGATTCTGAAAATCATTTATATTCCAATACGTTTATTTTAGAGGTATTTCTACTTTAATTACGTATGAAACAAAGATTTTTCTAATATGCTCCATATATAAAAATATATATACGTGGTGGGATGTGTGTGGGAGTATACACACACTCGACCCACACACATATACATACACACACACACACACATCTATACACATTTTTTAATATATATACGTATATACCTGTATCTTGAGTCTCAGTCTTCTTTTCATGTTTTGGTTCTGAAAGGAAAGAAAAATAAAGTTCCTGGGTGGTTGATATGCATAAAGTATCCTAAAAATTTGGTTGTTGAGCATCCAGTTCATTTCTTTACTGATAAATGTAAAGTTCTCAAAGATTTTCTCTAGTTTTGGGGCCTGAATAGATATGTCAACCCTTTCTGGAGCTTGTAGTAGAAATTGTACACAAAACCCAAATACCAAATATAAACATAACACAGAAATTTCAAGCATTTCTAGCTACACATATGAAATACTGAAAACAATGACAACAATAAAGCTATCATTCTGTACAATTGTTATAATTCACCTACTCCTAATCTTTGAGTAAAAAGCCAGTCTAGTTTTTGTAATGCTGAAGACGAAATATTTTATTTTACTTTCGATAATGTCTAAAAACAGACAAAATGCTATCCACCAATTGTCTGAATTTTCAATATACATTTACTGTAAATTTTAGAACTAAAGAAGTTCAATGTTTATCTAGTGTTTTGGATAATTTCATTATCTTAACAGGTACTAACCTTCATCAGAAAAAGGTTATTTACATAAGATTTTTTGTAAAAAATAAAATCTTTCTACTATTGTTTTATCTTAAAAGGCACTAATAGTCACTTGGCTCCCCCTCCATCCCTTTAAAAAAAAAAAGTTCTTACAGCATATTCTTAAAAAAAAAATCCAGAACTCTTCATTTCTAATGAAAATCTCAAACTTGCCTTCTTTCTCTAGTTTCACTGCTACAAACTATAAAACTCTTCATAAAACTACTGAATATTGTGTACAATAACTGAGCTCCTGTGTTCCAAGTTACATGATCAATCTATTTACACACTTCACTGTGGGCACATACACTCATTTCAACTAAAGAACTTTTTGCATTAGCAATAACTGCAGAAGGTAGGAAGAAACGATTCCTTTCAATACGCTAGACACACAAAGTAGGTGCAGCCTACCATAGGCCTTCAGTTTCTCCCAACTCCGTGCAAGGTAGTAGTGATTACAGGAACTGCAGTCCTACTAGAGCTGGTCACTGATCTGATTAAGAACCACGTCATACAAAGAGTCAGAAAAGAAACTGAACTGCTCTGGCCAACAAACCATCTTGGCACTGCCCTCTCAGCTTTCTGAGAAATCTAGAAAGCACCAGGATTGGAGAAAATATTACATCAGAGAGTCTGCCAGAAGAGGAGAAACGCATCTGATAGAGATGGAGAAGATACATTGACTCCAGAATAGCGAAGCTTATACTTCTGCTGATTTCTCAGACATTTGCACCTGAAACTTTAAAGTGAATCTTCTTGTGGATGTGAACTTTAGTTTTGGAGCTAATGTCAAAACTACAAGCTTTACATTTGAGAGAAAGAATTTTAGGTCTCCATGATGGCCTCCACCCCTTCTTTGACTTTAGAAAACAGGTGCTAAAAACTGTCTTCTCCAGAAAAAGAGCAAATCTGTTTCATTTTCGATCCAACCAAAAACATGTCAAAAGGTACAAGAAAGATGGTCCAGGAGACAACAGGGATGAAAACTAGGTACTACAACTGCTAAAATGGTGTCTAGCACATATTCATGAACAACTACAACTCCCATGACCTGAAACTGGGCAGACTGAACTCAGAAGGAAAAAATGGTGTATCACAGAATGATGGCCTCACATCTTTCAGCACATCTTCAGAGACATCCATGGTTGGCTGGTTAGCTCAAACCTTAAAGGACTGACAACATAAGATGAGCTTATAGGACTGAGTGTGGTGTCTCTCATCTTTTCTAGGGATCCTGATAACAATTTCTGATTATTTTCTCTGGTTATTTCTGAGACACTGATGAGTGCCTGGAAATAAGGGTGCCTGTACACAGGTCTGCCCTTGGAACAAAAAGTGACATTCTAAATAACTTTGTAACTTCACGTAACTTTCAAGATGGAGGCGGCAGATGGACATTGGGGTGGGAGGTGGGGGGCAGAATCAGTCAAGTCTTGCAAATGTCAGGAACGCTCAATGCCTCACCCGATTGGTCTTTTTCTTCTACACTGCTCCCGGCTGGAGCTTTCAAATTAAATTCCTCTAAAGAGTACAAAGGAAACATTGTGCTTTCTCTCACAACCAGAACATCTCGAAGGGAGAACTTGGAAGCAAGACAAAATTCTGTTGTGAAAAGGCGAACTTTTATCAAGAGAAAAGCAGTTTGTCACAGATTATGTTGAACTGCAGGCACAATTCACTACATAAAAAAGCCCAGCAATTTAGTAGCCAAGAATAATAATTTTTTGACAAACACGTCCTACCTTGGAATTTTCTTTTGAGAAAAAGAATGGAACTTTCTATTCTCTTCATCAGCCTAATCAGAGGATTTAGAATAGTAAAGAAAGAGTAGGAAAAAACCTAAATCTGATTTATTTGATACTATTTAAAACTCTCATTGCAGCACACAGTAGCAATCACACATGAAACCACTGCTTGTCAAAGCACAGATTAATCACAAAATAGAGTTATTAACTGTTATTGTGCCAGGGCGCCAGAAGAGACTGCAGAATATGAAATGGTTTTGGAACGGACTCTATGAAAAACTGACGCAAATTACTTTGGGAACCTCCATGATCATCTCTACTCCTAAAGCAGGTATAGATGATTCTTCCCCTAGGGACTGTGGAAGTGTTCTCTGTTCCTGTCACCACTACATATGAAGGAGCATGAAAAGTAAAGATTAAATTTGCACTTCTCCTTCATATCTAGGTGTGAGAAGCAAGAGAGTGATTCTTGATTAGGAACTGATTGTAAAGTAAGGAGAGTAAACAATAAGCCCAGGGGAAAAGCTAGGTGTCTCTTGCTTTTCCATCCTATTGATGCCAACACATTTCATCAAGGTCATCACTGCTGAGGCAAATAATTCTTTTCTGCAGACTGAGAAAGACATGGACTAAGGGCCACTGAAAATCCTTCAATGGGATTTTGACTTCTATCCCAAAGGTGGATGTCAGAATTTCCCTCCTAATGACGAAGAATGAACCTCAAGGTTTTCGTCTCAAATATTTTGACGTTAAGATTTGTTGTTCTTTGCTTGGGTTACATAAACAAGGAAAATAAACAAGAGTGCTTTGAAGATACACTTAACTTTTCTGAAGTATGATAGTCCCTAGAAGGATGTCACAGAAGGAATTACAACCACATACCTTTGTTTCAAGACTGACCACTAGTTGTCTTCTCATTAATTTTTTGATTCAGTCTCAGCAATCATTAACCAAATCAAACTAAAACAGAATAATCTCCAAAGAACTGCTTGTTACGGACAAGATGAAAAGGTAACACTGAGCTATCCAGATGCAATGAACCACAGCTGACTTGGCCAGGGTTTCATAAGAAAAAGGGCATGCAAAGTCTTCAACATTCTTATTCCACATATGCACAAAGTACAACAAAAAGGACCAATATGGGAATATAACCTATATGCACGCTCTACACTTGTTCCAGTGTTAAAGATCGATTGATTGCTTACATACTCAGGGGGTTTGAACATAAAAAACCCCCAAACCTTAATTGAGAACTTGCATTGAAAATTTTAACACAAAGTAATTTCAATTTCCTATTAATGATAGACTTTGATACTGTCATTTCACTATCTATAGCAGTTGTCATACCATGGTCTTCATTATAATCACCATGCACTCTATCCTCTGTTTGAAGAAAAAAAAAAAATCAATATGAAAATTCATGGAATTTTAAGACAATACACACGCACAAATAATACAGTGTCAAGTTTATCTAGAACAAAAAAGATATTCAAAACTATAGTATTTTATACTGTTAAGTTAATAAGAGTTCAACAAAGGTGAAGATTTCTAAAAGATCCTGTGAGAAGAACTAAATCATTTTCTGGCATCACAAGATAGACTTAAAAAAGATAAAGCAGTATCAGTAGGTTTTTCTTATGCAGTTCATAACAGTAGGCTCTCCTTATACAGCTCATGAACTCATCTACAAATTACCTACAATTCAGAATGGAAATACTCATAAATCATTTCTACATACAGCAAACTTCTACAGTGAAATTTTGTAACCTGCTTGTTATGGCTTGCTTGCTTTTTAAAAAATAAAAAAAATTAAAGATACTACTTTTTCTCTGACACTTATCCCACTAACTTCAACATCTTTGGCAAATTTAAATTATTTTTTTTATCCACAGAAACACTGCTATGCAATTTAAAATACAAACATCCATTCTCCTGGAAATTTAACCCTCAAAATATTATTCTGTGCATTTGGCTGACATTACAGAAAAGTAACATTCATGTAGGTCTTTGTATTTTTTTCAAAATGTAAATAAAAATATAGATGTAATAACTTACTAAGGAACTGATGCTATCTATGAGCTCCACTGTTGGTTTTCTTGGTTTTTTTTGTTTTTTTTGGTCTTGGTTTGGGGCCAAATTTAAATGAAACTTCAATCAAAAGAACTAAGACTTTGGACTGTACCTGTGTAATGTTCCATAGCATCTTCTAACATTAGGTCAGAGTCACCTTAAATAAAAATATTTAATATTTTATATTCTAATCAAATTTTCATGCAACAGCTAGATAGCACAAGAGAAGTTAAAAAAGTCACATATTTCACTCAAGAATAACAGAACTAAACATACTGAGTTAATACTACAATGTTTTATTTGAAAGTGACAGCTGCATTGTAAAACACATCCAGAACTACACTGCAAGTCACACTATATAATAAGTTCATATGTATTTGTATTTAGGCTTAAAATAAGGAATACAAGTAGGTCTTTGACAATCCACTGCTTATACTGGAAGACTCCTGACAGAACAAGTTACTTATGTATTTGTGGATTGGATTTGTGGAGTGTTGTGTTCATAAATGTAACGGTAACACACCTACAAAAACCAGGCTTATATGAAACTACCTGAAAAGCTGTTTGAAAATAAAACTGTGATGAAATGGTCAATATGACACATTACTTTGAAACATGTTTAAAAAAGTATAAGTGATTATATTATAATCTGAAGTCATGAAAATTTACAAACCTGGAGCTTCTGGATCACTTACTGTCTTTTCCACATCCATATCATGTTCATATGAAACTGTAAATTAAATATGAAAAAAAAATTAAAATTAAAAATATGAAATATTTTTAATACTCAATTATTTTAACTTGCATCCATACCGTGTCTGTTAATAGCTAAGTGTAGCTCCTTAGTTGAAAACTGACAAATTAAAACCTTACAGATACTTGCAACTTGACACACAGGAATCTAATGGAAGGTGTTGGGCCACTCTCTCGTCTAGTCCTCTGTTATACTCTCTGTGTGAAAACTAGATCCACGAGAGCCATTAGTCTCCATCAATGTTTTTTAACAGTTCTTCTAATAAGAATTAAAAATGCAATCTTCCCCTATCCTCAACGTTCTAAAGTAGCTTCTTTACTAATGTGCAGGAGGACCAGTGGTGATGATTTACAGATGGCAAGATAAGAGCCAGAAATCAGACCTTGAGAAGTATGTACATTTGTTTCTAGAATCACAGATTTAGAGCAATTTACTTTTTTTTCATTGCCTAGCTAAATAAGTGGATTATTTTCCTCTGTGGCTACAATTCTTTGTGACATTATTAATTTACTCAGTTATGTTACAACTGACAACACATGGTACTGTAGGTAAAGTAACTATCCTTTTACTCTGCAAGCATCACAGCTTGGATTCTAAATTGGTAACTGGAAAGCAGTGATCTCCCACAAAGGTAGGAAGAAGCAGTTTTAGTTATATCAAACAAATAAAATAATTTTTCTGTCATATTTGGCATCGAACAGGACTGTAAAGTCCAGAACTAACATTGAGCCAAAGATAAGAAGCCTAGTCCAAACAGAAATTGATGTCTAGTGTAAATGGAAGAGGCTGCCTGTATTATAAACAAACAGTATTAGCATCCAGAAGAAAATACTTATCAGATAGCAGGGAAACTGTAATATCCACCTAATGTTTCTTCATAATGGGAAAGATGAGCTAATGCCGTTGTACGTGACATCAAGCGCAATATGAAGATGACTATAAGCTAATTGGATTAGTCCAGGCAAAATTTCAAAAAGCTTTAAAGATGAATTAGGGTGTGCAGAAAGACAGTGCAAGGATACTTCAGAATGAAGTCTTTGGTGCTGACTCACTCTCTGATAGTATAGTCGACCATAAAGAAACAAACACTCCTAAAGGAAAGGTTACAAACTGGATGCTTCTGAAAGGTGACAGGTTACATGTGAGAACACAAGTTTCTGACTAATGTCAAGAATAATAGACTAGACGAACCTTAGCAATGTAGACTGGAAGACAGTAAATATAAACAATAAATCTCATTCTCACTTTCTTAGACTGTACAACCACAGATCTCTTGCCTATCCAGATCCCAATCATACACAACAGACAAAAACACATAGAAAAGTAAAAATTAAGTTTTTGCACCAATGAAAGCAAAGTTTCCATACCTATCATCTGTTCTTTTTAAGAACCATTTGCAATAGCAAATATGATAGAGTCATCTCAGTCAAAGTAAAAATATCCAAGACAATCAAAAATAGTTGTTTGGAGAAAAAAAAATTTTCAAAATTATATATTCCTCAACTAGTCTAATCTTTTCTATTTTGCTTTCTTGTATAATTTGCTACATTTAGGCAGAAAATCAATATTATTGAGTTTGGAAAAACAAAATTTTACCTGGAGCTTCATATGGTTCAGGCTCCATTGCTCGAAGATCATCTGCCAAAAGATCAGCATCTGAGAAACAAACACGTATTTACAAATTTTAAAATTTTTAAATCAATACATGATACAGCAAACCCTATAACAGAATATTATGTAAGAATAGAGTCAAATTTCTAAGCAGAAATTCTAAGCAAATTTCTTCTAATGACAGAAAGATATGTATATGGATTGAAAGCACAGTTTATTTTATTCTTATACATAATACTGAGAATATGTATACACACATAAACTCCATACACACTTGCTCAAAAAAAGATGACTCTCCACAGACATTTCTGTGTAAATGTAAACAAAGTAGAACATATTCACTTTGCCTTCTTAATAGTAACTTTAAAGATTTAAAGTAACCGGAATTTTAATTTCTCCTCTGTTCCCTACTTTAACTTGCACTGTAGATGAATAAAAGAGATACAGAAACAAGGAGGTATAAGACCCAGACTGAAAAGAATTACTTCAGTTGTGGCGAAAGAATCCCCATGTACTTCCAGCAATCAAAACTTTTAGATGACATCCATTACATGCATTTTTCAAAAAGAGGTAAGATATATGTAAACTTTTCAGTAGTGCAGATAAAAAGCATTCAGAAATATTTTTCCCTAAATTGGATTTAGATCATATAACTCTGCTTTAATATTTTGATTACAAACAATTTTTGTCATCCTGTCAATGCCCCAAGGCAGCAGGATATGAGCATCTTCTTTATACGTTATTATGTTCTCAGCAAGACTTGCAATATGGTTCATGTGTAACATTCTCTTAAGACAGTCACATTAGAAGGAAAGTAGAGTGAGAGTAAGTCTGTCTACAAAAGGCTGTGCTAATAAACTCTTAAATTTAGTTTAATAAACTAGAAAGTCCAGAAGCAGAGTCCATACAGATATTATAGAAGTCCTTCTATTGGAAGGAGATATGCATATGTGGAGGACAGATTAATTTGTTTTGTTGATAGCTAATATAGCAGTAATTAAACAATAATATATAATAACTTGGATTCCAAAACACATGGCATTAAAATACCCCATTTTGATTAAAAAAATATTTATTTGCTAAATAATACTTGCTATGGTTGACATTTGTTAAGACTCTATTGCAAGTAGAAACTACGAGTCAAGTTTTTAATGAGACGTATTTCCGTTTGTTCTTATTTTTGGCAAAATTTAATTTTAAATATATTTAGTCATTCAGATACCTTTCTGAACGGAGTCTGGTGTCTCATATGCTTCTACCATTTCATTCTCTAATTCTCTGAGCAAGTCATCTGTTGTAGGAGCTTCAAAAGTTTCTCCATGTATTTCTTCCTTCACTTGCCACTGGTCATTTACACTTTCATCTACATGTTCATGTCTCCCTCCTAATCAATAATACAGATTGTTAGAGAATACATACTCCTTGGTAAATTCTATTAGCAGCAAATATTCAGTCCTCAGCACACTCTTTGTGTTTTTCAACTAGTCCCCAAAGGGGACAGGGACAGATGACTTGTCTGAACCTTCCAGCAGTATAAACCCAAAGTATCTGCACTGACTTGCCAGTGCTGCCTTTGCCCACAGTAAAAGCCATCACTGTTTACCCATTCTTGCATACTATGCAGTATTTTGAAGAAGTTTTGTCAGCTGACTGATTTGAGCTACTGCTGCCACACACCTCCGGGTAAGAGGCCACAGTTTTAGGATTTGGTGTCTGAACTTTCTGAATTTTCTTGAAAATGAGAAATTAGCCTATTAGAAAGTTTTGTGCAAGCAAAAGTACTTTAAGTGCATACCAAAACCAGACTCTGAGATTCGTCTAGCCTATGGCAGTATTTATAAATTCTTCAGTGATTTCTAAGTGTTAATGCATTACCAGGCTGGGAATGGAGAGCTTCCTGAAGAACAGACTGAATTTCCTCTTCCAATTCTACATCAGCATTCTTGTGCTCTAAAAGGATTATAAATTGCAGTGAAGGTTAAGTGCAAAAGGCAAAGTCTAAACATTAGCTCAAAGCTTGTAGCTTTAATAGCCTCCATAAAGTTCTTATTCAATTTGTAAAGTTCTGTAGAGATTGACTTGGTGAACCTCTACAACTCACAATCACAAAAACAATTTGGTTTTGCTTACTTTCCAGTATGGGAAGTATTGCATCAATCATATCAGATGCATTCTGAAGATGAATTGGAAGAATTTATCTACACTGCATTTTCTGCACATGTAACATTAATACTTCAGATAACTATTCAAACCAAGAATTCTCTTCTAAGTAATTATTTTACTAACACTTTCATCCATTACTTTCCTACAATTTAGGCAGCAGCGCTAGTATGTCATATTTGACAACAAAATGTCACTTGCAGAAGTAGGGTTTTGTTGGCTTTACAAACAGGGAAAATACATACTAACATTACAATATCAAGGTCTTCTCCTGACAATTCATAGCAGAATAAAATCACAAACTGGCTTCAGGGACAAGTGACTGTCATCTAACACACCAGCCCAGGACATAACAGGAATTTGTTTGTATAAACGTCCTGAAATTAGTGTTGAGAAACCCAACAGCACAAAACCAAATCACAGCTGCATTTTTCAAATAAAGCTCCAAAATGGTACCAGTCAAAAGAAAAAAAAGAAAAAAAAAAAAAGAAAGAAAAAAAAAGGAAACAACATCTTAACTTGATGTATTTTATAAATGACAAATTAAGAAACGTAATGCAAGTCTTTTAAAAAACTCTATAATCCATTTTATTGACTGTATGCTCCACATTTGTGGGTTATTCTGTTAAGTTCACATAAACATCAAGCAGGATAAGGCTCTTCAAGGAACAAGAAGAAATATGTACTCTCTGAATAACACTAAAATGCAAATCACATATCTGAAACCTGATGTGTAAAAATATTTTTTCTTGAATACCTCTTAAACCTAATAAATTTTACTAATACTATGGGGCTTTTAAAATGTTTAAACATTTTTTTTTCAACAGTAGAACCTGTATTTATGATATACTATTGGTTTTAGTGGAAAAGTGAATATTTGATTAACCTTATGAAGTTGATTGTTGGGGTTTTTTTGTTTGCTTGGTTTTTTAAGGTGGAGAATCTGCTGTTATTCTGATTGCGTATACTGTTGCATACGTATCAAAACCAGAACTGTACATCAGCAGAAAGTTATTCTGATGTGATATGGTTCCAATGGTAAACATGAGAGCTGACAAGAGTGCCTTCTATACATTTGAATTACAAACTTTTCATAGTCAGTGATTTATATAAAAAGTTATCAACAGTGATTCCCATTAAATAAACTGTAGTGGATAAGCAACAAATAAAATTGATGAAAGACTTATTTTTTCTACCCCCAAAAAACCCACAATGAGCTTGCATGCTATGGAAACAGAAATAAATTCAAATGAAGCATCATGTCTTTTGTTTCACCTATGGTTTATGAAAGGCCTTACCTGATTCGACATATGACTTCTCAGCAGGCTGGACGGTCTCCTCAGATTCTGGTGATGTTGGCTGTGCTGGGACAGATCTTTCTTTAAGGCCTGCATTTTTCAGTTATAAAGTTAACTTTATGCTCTTTTTGATCTGATTCAATTATAAACTAAAAAAGTTGTTTCAATTAAATTAACTGACATTAAACTCTCCAAAATGTATTCAAACAATTAATCACAATTACAGGGCTGTCCTAATATACAGTGATATATACAAAACCTAAAGTGTATTCAGATAGTAATCGAATATGTTTTGAAGACAAACATACAATGAGGGGGAAAAAGGGACAGAAATTTTAGCACTTGCCTTTATTTCAAAGTAACTGAACAAATGACTATGCTATTCTCAACATCTATTCAGTATCCAGAAGAAAAACAGGCAGCAGGTTTTTCTCACTGTTTTCTCTTTGGGCAAAAAGTGCTTCATATGATCAATTTTATAGGTTTTATGAAGAACTAATTTGAACTTTATAAAATGCTGCGCAGAATGAGAAAAGGTAAATTCATATGTTAAATCGTAGAAGATCTGATGAGGAGAACTGTAGTTTCTTCAAAATAAGGTAATCTCAATCTCCAGTTTCTTTTGACAACTAAATTACTACAGAAAAAGTATGACTGATGGAATTTCACTACTAAGATGCTTACTACCTATACCACAAAGTCTTTCTAGATCAAAACACAATGAAAAGAAAGCAACCAATAACAGCAATGATCAACACCACGGTAAGAGAGAAAGATAATTCATAGCCTCGGAAGATTATGCCACATCTTCAAGAAACAACGTATATAGTATTAGCCTAATCCTACTCTCAACTATCCTTTAGGAAGGATTCAAGCAAGACTTAAACAACAGAGGTTCAGACTGGGTATAAGAAAAAAAACTTACACACCCACACCCACACCCCCTCCACCTCCACCATGAGGACAGTCAAATCAGTGGAAAAGGCTACACAGAGACGTTGTGCATTTTCACCGTTGAAGGTTTTAAAGACCACACTGGATAACAGCCAGGGTAACCTGGTCATACCTCTGAGATGACCCTGTTCTGAGCAGGATGTTGGAATAAGTATCTCCTGAAGTCCCTTCCAAACAGAATTCTGCTAGAATCCTACATCATTTTTCCTAGTTGCATATTTAAGTTCCAAGGTAAATTAAGATAAAACTACCTTCTTAAATGAACACACACACACATATACTGCCCAAAACAAATTAATTTCTCAAGAGCTGTATGCACAGAAATCAATAGAAAAATAATATTTAAGAAAGCAGAGGCTACACTGTAATGAACACTCCTGTACTGCTAACAATCTTGTAAAAGTAACTTTAAGTGGAACAAGTATTATATTTCAAGTCAGTAAAGTTTAAAAAAATAAATAAATAATTACCACATTTCTACTGGAGTCAAACATATCTCAATACAAACAGGACTAGTATGCCTCAAAACAACTTTGTGTAAATTACATAAATTTTATTATTTTATGCATCGTGAGAAAAACATGTATATATATATTCCATTACCCTATGTAAGTAATGGGACCAGGAATAATAGAATTAATTCTACTTACACATTTTTATGTTATTTAAATTACACGAAGCTAAGCAGTTAGGCTGTATCTAAATTTACTGTAACTAAGAGTCCACGGCTATGGAGTCAAGATCAGAAGTTAGAAGAAAAAAGCCAAATTTACACTTCATTTTTTTTCCAATTTTCTTCTGTGTCATTAAAAAAACCCTGAAATATTAAAAAATATTAAGACCTACATTCATCTTTTGCTGCAGTAATATTAATGGCTACAAGAGTAAGTTACTTCCTTCTGCAATCATCTTTAAATACATATGGAGACAAAACCAGTTATATTAGCCACTGTCTCACACTTCAGAATCTGGACGTGTAGAAACAGCCACCCTGCTTTTCACAAATACAGTTCACTTCCCTTACACATCTTTAAGTAAGTCCTCTTATCCTCCGATAATCCACATCTCCAGTTCCAGACAACTACCTGCTCTGATTCATGAACAATAAATGGATTCAAAGTATTTCAAAAGATAGTTGATATTCCACAGGCAACAAGCATTTAGGGTGTGTAAAAGGCAAGAAGGGACTAGCAAGAGTATTTCTTTGTTTTGCTTGAGCATTTCTCAACTTTGCTTTCAAGCTTTTCATACACATCTGTCATGTTTATCACTGACTCCAATCCTGTCGAGTATGTAATATGTTAAGTCATTTACTTTTTGCAAGAAGTTATTTTCTCTTATCTTTTTATTAAAATAAATTTGCACTCAGTTTTTACTTGTGTGGTACATTTTTTGAGCTTATGTGGTAACTTGCCATGTTAAGTTGAATGACAGTAATATTCCATAGAGATATACAACAGCACAACAGATCTCTGGGCCAAAAATCTCATTTTATTGTATGGGTATCTGTATAGCCTGGAGTGCTACTCAAATAAAACATTCTTTGGAAAAACAAACAAAACCACCAAACTTTTTCAGAACCGGATAAACTTTGGGTCATAGATACAATATGTTAATCAGGAAGGCAACTCATTCCAAATTTCACTCCCAGACAGTTACAACTTCTGTCACATTATGGGGGAAAAAATCCACCATTCTTGAGAAGTGTGATTTAAGTGCTCCTCTGTCAAATATGTGTCTTAACACTTATCAGAGCAAAGATGAATAAACACGTCTATCATCACTGAAACCTAAAAGGGCATGCTCATTATGCAAGGGCATTTATTAGATCTTCATTCTGTCAAGTTTTTTGCTAAGCACTATAATGTTCATAACACACACATCTTTTCCCTCCTTCTTCGCACATATATAAATATTTAGACAATAGCTCTGTCTATCATCTCTTTTAATTATCACAGCTAGAATCTTAAGCTACTGTGCTATTTTCTACAGCTTTCATTTGAACTATTTTTCCTAAGTTTCCTCTAAAAAAGAAAAAAAACAAACAAACAAAACCCCCAACAGATTATATCTTACCCTATTACAGCATCTTATACCTCTAGGGATCAAAGCATCTTACAGAGACATGTATGTGCTGTATCAAAAGTCCAAGATAAGTGTATTGCCAACTGTTATACACAAAATTTAAGCAAACCTACAAACAGAATCAACCTTCAGGACTTTAATCTTACACCACCACCCACATGCATATACTCATGCTCAATTTCACTCATTAGTTTTGTTTTCTTTAAAATAATACTGCAGTATAACAAGTCTTCAACTTTCATTACAAATTTTGTTCTGAACCTTGTGTAATTTTATTGTGCAATTAATATTTCAATATACTAAACGATATTATTTGTCTAGTAAAATTAGAAAATATTCCTTTCTCGTATAAACTTGAAAGCAAGTATAGATTCAATAACATACTGAAATATTCCTGCAGAAATGTTTTGTAACTTTTTTTATTCTAATGAGACTGCTGGATAAATCATTCCTCAGTGCTAAAAATAGAGAAGTTAAGAGTGAAATAACACAGGAGCTTGCTTACAGAAGTATCATGTACTTGAAAAGTGTTGTTTTAAGAAAATAATAGTTGCAAAAATACATAAGCTGTTCTCTAATCAAGTTCAAACAGGATACAGTACTAGCAGCATATCACTTCTTAAAAGGTGACTGGAATCCAACAATACCCATCAACATTGAAATAGGTGGCCTAATTTTCAGAAGTATTCATTATCAGAAACTTGGAAAGTTTCTGGGAAGAATCTGGACACAGTTAACTGAAAAGTGACAATGAATCAAGTTTTCAGACCTAAAGATAGCTAAAAAATAAACAAAGGAAGGAAGGAAGAAAAGCAGAACATATTGTCACAAAATCAATAAACAAGTGTTGCAACATTTTGGTTGAGTATACACTGAAGTATCCTAAAAAAACGCAACACTGAAGTTGGTTTGAGTGTTTGTGTATAAAATAGTTTTCTCCGTCTACTTAGGGGAAGAAAGACTAGCAGGGAATAATTTACATTTATTTGCTAAGTTCCTGCTAAGTCCCTGTGACAATACATTCTATTAATGCTCCTCTTGGTTGTTTTTGTGAAACAGAAGTATTTTCTTGTGATTTTCGACTGTATGTGTCCAGATAATCCTCTTAATATTGCTTTTAGACTTGCATTTGGTATACAACATTCTACTTCCATCCCCACATCAAGAAAATAGCATTTTAATACAAGGAAAGAAAGAAAGACAGAGAGAAAGAAAGACAGAGAGAAAGAAAGACAGAGAGAAAGAAAGAAACAAACCAAAAAGCAAAAACCCAACAGATTTAGAGTATGCTTGAAGTAACTGGTATCAGTTTGACATTTCTGTTTTCAATACACATTGGTAGCCAGGCATATTAACATATGTACATATCTGAGTTTCACAGCAGACATTTTTGCTTTGTGTTTACAATGCCAGTACACACTTAACAGTTTTCAAAAACTTATATATAGCCTTTGTTCACACTTATTTCCAGAAAACATTATTGTCTTATTACCATATTTATCAAATTCATATAAATATGCTGAATTTCTCATTCTTGAGGTCTGTTCTTCATTAGCAGAACCAGAACTCTGTTTATTTCTTTTCTTTCTTGTCTTCCTTGGATGGGCTTTTAACTATCTTTTTTGTCTCTTTTTCTCTTCCCACCTGAACAGTACCATCCTTTTCACTGGCTGATTTTTTTGTAGTCTCCTTGGATTTTACATTTCTGTCTAGGCCTTTTTCCTTTCCTTTGTCTCTTTTAGCCTTGTCAGAATCTTTCTTTAATTTATTCATATCAACAGCTTTCTTGTCCTTTCGATCAGTAGCATCTTTTCCTTTCTTGGCTTTCTTTTTTTCTTCCTCATCTTTGACTTCCTCCTTCTTGGATTCCTGCTTCTCCCTTAGTTTCTTGAGTGGTTCTTTAATAGCTTCTTTTACTTTTTAGTTTTTCATTTAAAAAAGAGGAAATGTTCAATAAGAGAACCATTCTTAGATCAGAAAACATCTTATGAACAACTATCTAAAAGCTTTGATTGAATTCTTACTTAATGTTAGATGCCAATTTAAACTTG